CTTTTTATAACTCTGATAAGTTGATGGCTTATTAAATCTTATTAAACCAAATCTCAGTCACGTGATCAAGCGTGGTGGATTTGGTGGATGTGGCAAAATCACTTTTAAACTGTCGTACTTTTAACACCCATAACACCAATCTACATTTACTGCGGAATTATCTTTTATTGAACTTTGAAACAAAAATAAATTTTGAAATATAATTGTTTAGCATAGGCTCCAAAAAGTGTCTTAGAGGGCAGTATCTAGGTTTCTGAGACCAAGAGTATAAATCCAGCACACGCAGTCAAGGGTGTCCCCACAATTTCCATTCTTTCTCCATCCCCATCCAGGTGATACTGGAGAACAGATTCCCATTCCCTCTTCACAAATAAGGTTCCTGAAAAGTATAAATGAATTTCTAGCTAGCTCTTAAAGACATGCTAGCATGCTGTACTGCTAGATTTGCTGTATAGTACAAGCCTCAACCATGCAGTACCAGCCTCTGCTAAACAGTAAAAAAGCCTCCGCTACAATGAACAAGCTTCCACTATACATCACAGCTTTTCAAAAACTCCTGGTTTTTACATGTAATAAAGAATTTTACATATTTTTTTTTGACAATAACAGCATTATTATTGAATAGTTTATAAAAAAAAATTCTTAAAATTATCCCTCCAACATAAGCAATCTATGAGGATTTTAAAGATTGAATTTGCACTAATACTGAACAAAAATTCATCGATCATCTTTTATTCAGTGCATTGGGTCTGTTCTCACTGCAAAATTAATTGTTGTGTTATAGAGGACGTGAGTCAGACTCTAATAAAACGCATAAATAACTTCCAGTATATATATTTCTTATAACTTATTACTAGAGGGTTCAGAACAAGAGTCANTATAAAAAAAAATTCTTAAAATTATCCCTCCAACATAAGCAATCTATGAGGATTTTAAAGATTGAATTTTCACTAATACTGAACAAAAATTCATCGATCATCTCTTATTCAGTGCATTGGGTCTGTTCTCACTGCAAAATTGTTGTGTCTCATTTTCATGGACAATTTAGAGTCATACTTTGAGCCTAGAAGTTGTTTTCCTTTTCTGGGGGTTTTTGGTTCTCACAGTAGATTATGACATATTTGGATTGATTGATAACTTTATTGTTTATACCTGCACTCTACCACTTTAGGTTTCCAGCAGTATCCACAGTAGCAGATAGTTCCTTTGTTATCAGGGCCGATGGATTTTGTTACACCACATTTCCCGGTTGACTCATAATCTGGTCTAGGTTGGTCCCAAGAACATATTCCTCCAGATTCCTAAATAGTAAAAATATTAAACAAAGGGGAAACAGATAAATTAATACCTGGTTTTAAACCTTCCGCACTAGAAATTGCATATTTTAGATTTTCTAATTTAATATCCTAAAAAATTAGATATGTCAAGTGAAAAAATAATCTTTAAGTTTTAGTTATTAAACCAATCAAGACTTTATTGTTAGATAAGTTGTCTTCAAGCCACCATTTGTGTAACTTAAAATGATTAATGACCTATAGTTCCACAATTCACAACGATCTGATCTAATCTGGTCAGTTTTCTAGCTTGTTAATTTCATCATTGCTCCTACTCCAAAAATGTTTAAGTCACTTTCATAGAGAAACCACAATTTAAAATAAACAATTTTCAAAAAGATAGAATTGGATTTCTTATTCATTCCTGAGTATACTAAGCTTAATGTACATACAGTTGTGAATTGGCCATGCAAGACTATGTAAGGAGAGTCACTTAAAATTATGTCTACAGTCCATTTGATGTTATTTAAAAATCACCTTGCATTTAGAATCCTCGCATGGGTCAATTTCGTTCTTCTTCCAACAGGTTCCACACTGACAGTAGATCCCCTCTCCATACACTCCCTCACTACATTTTCCTATAGCACTGAAGTTACCAGCAGGCTGATCCCAGGCACATTCACCTCCCTCCAACTAAATATAAATATGTTAGCAGGTTCTGATAGCACTGAATTAACCAGCAGGCTGATCCCAGGCACATTCACCTCCCTCCGACTAAATATAAATATGTTATCAGGTTCTGATAGCACTGAATTAACCAGCAGGCTGATCCCAGGCACATTCACCTCCCATCAACTAAATATAAATATGTTAGCAGGTTCTGATAGCACTGAAGTTACCAGCAGGCTGATCCCAGGCACATTCACCTCCCA